TTTAGAGAAAAGCAATCAAAACAAGACAGAGTTTGGTTGTCGTTATTTTGTTTTCACTGGCCTGTCTCACAGTCGTTGACCCTGTAGCCGCCATTTTTTGTGGGCTATAAAAAACTCTGGCTCTTTTTGTAAGGTGGCTCTACACCGGCACTTAAATAACTGCGGGTGTTGGGGTGTGACACCCCAGATTTTTGCAAAAATTTTGTGACTAGTCGGAAAATCTAAGTTATCTATCTTACGTCAGAGTATGATATAAAAAAACGCTAATGCCGAAAGTTTTTTTTCATTTCAAAAAAGAAACGACCGAACCGTATAAAATTAAGTTTCTGTAGGTAAAGGCCAAGTAAAAGTTTAGTACAATAAGCAATTGGCGTATTGTCAGTCGGAATGGTTTAACCCTTTACCCTCCAAAACATATTCGTCAATTTGCGGCCTGGCAAAAACAAAGTTGTCTCACTAGCTCAGTAAAGCAGAAAGGTGATCTCCTATTGAAAACGCTTCATTCGTTACAAGTTAGCAATTCGTTACAAGTTAGCAAGCAACCTTTCGTTATTTTAAGTGTTAGAATAATCCATTAACGTTGGAAGCAATTAATCCACATCGAAGACCAAGCGCAAAGGTTTATTTGGTTTAGACTCAAAAAATGTTTGGGAGGATTGAATGGTAATCGAGATATTAGCCCAAAGCAAATGTTTTCAATTAACTTTTTGCGATTCAGCCGTAGAAGATGATAATTTAAGTCGCCATCTTAATTTCGAGCATTTGCCACCTGTGCAACCAAACGAGGCCTTGATACAATGACTGCTTTGTCAAACCAGCATAAAAGCTTCGAAGAGTTCCGATCATATCATAAAAGTGAACTTATCATTTTTTATAACGAGTTATCAAAATTATTGTCGAAGCTTACATTTCCTACGTGTTATATCATCAATTATGATATTAATCAAATGGCATGGAACGATACGTTCATTTAAATTAACCAAACATTGCATAAGATAAATGCATTGCTTTTTCGCACGTGCTATGAGCTCGATGTACCTTGGTTTCTTGTGCTACAAAATCGTCACCTAACACGTTACCAGACTATTAAAGGAACGGTCACTGACCTGGGAACTGTAATTAAAAATTTCCGTAGGAGAAAAGTCTAGAGATGACTTGATAAGGAATTCATTATATACTTAAAAGTTTCTCGCCTTTTACATAAATAGTAAATACCATTTACGCTTAGAAATTTTAAATTACAGCAAACAACATTGATCATGGACTAGGAAAAGTTTCATCATGGAAGCGGTGCCCTTGAGCCTAAAGATCTTCCCTGACTATAGTCACCGACGGTTGAAGTCTATCGTTTTAAATTGCTGTTGAGAAGCCTCGATGTGGAGTTAAGGTAAACTTTGAATATTTTGGGTTCGGGCAACTCACATTCTCTGTTAGATTCTGCTGACGATGCACAACAGTTCTTTTGGTTAATTCCCATTGAGAAAAAAATCGATGCTTGCGATATGGCTTTTTTAATTTTTTTTTCGTCCAATTTGTTTCACTCTATAATTTTCAAAATATTTCTAAAAAGCGCGCCAAAATTTTGCAGATGTCAGCATTTCAAAATTTCAAAAGTTTGTATTCGCAAAATAAGGCGAAGCACCCTAATTTGCTGACAAGCATGTCGAAATGCCACAATAAAACAAAGTTAATGACCTTTCTTTGGTTTAAAACCCCCTTCAAAAGCTCTTGCAGGACACATTTCAATGAGAAAGCAATTAAATTATGCGGATGTTAAACACTGTTTAAGACACCGGGAAATTGAAAGTGTACAACAAGACTGACAGTTGTCAATAAAGAACTTACAAATTACTAGCTCTGTATTTATATCGAACAGTGGCCATTGGGGTAAGAAAAGACTCGAGGTCATCGTATTCACACAATAAGAGACACATCAACTAACTACCGCGAGAAACACAAAACAAGGCAATATTCTTTCAAAATTTACCTCAAGCGTTTATTTGCTCTACTGAATGATAGTTGGTGACTGTATTCAAATGCGAACTGTCATCCAGTAGGAGATTGAGTAAGGCTGTTGTCTCATATCCCTGATATTTCAGGCATGGACTTGTGAGTGCTTGCAAGGAAGATCTTTGCGCATTAAATGCAAACTGTTGGTAATGCAGGAGAAAGTGCTTGTTGTTCTCATTTCCATCCGAAAAGCCAGTATTGCAATTTCATATAGGGCTTAGACAGTCAATATTTTATGTCTATTTCTGTACATACTTAATATGTTAAAATTCAAACAAAAGTTTGAAAAGATCTAACAACTTTTGCAACGCACACAGAATCTTTTATTAGTCCTCTTAATTATAAAAGTACAGTTCATTATAAAAGTGCATTTTTGAAAAAGCGAATACTTTGCTTGTTAGCCCTCGTAGTTTTAAGATTAAAAGTAGACTGACATTCATCTGCAACTTTTTAGGTTGAAAATATCACACATTTGTGAATACCTGCTTCTCTGATATAAGTATTCCTAATCCAATTTCTTATAAAGTCTTTGTCTACTTTTATCTTCCCATGCTCCACTGATATCTAAAATAGCTTAAAATTGAATAAGTTTAAGTCTTTGAGCAAAGCAGCTTTTATTTTAGTGTTTAAACTTTGATGCATGTCTCCAGAGCCCAAATTGGACCTCACATTATTAGAGAATTTTGGCCGAAGTGACCCCTTACCTAATTGCTTTAACGGATTGCGTAGTACTTGACTTATGACAGTAACAACCTTGAAAACATTTAAAAGCGATTGGTGACAGCATAAAAAGCATTCGCACCATTTTTGCGAAGCTTTGAATTTGTCCGTAGCGATAATAACATAGAAAGCAGTGAATTGTCAAAGATTAAAATTGCTAGTCGTGTATTTCCCTTTTACATTAAATAACCCCTCTACTTCGGCATATCTGGAAAAAATTCCTTCAAAATTCATAAAATGTAAACAAAATTTTATTTTGAAGTGTGATATGATTCAGCTGGTAGAGTTTTATTCCATGGGAATATCAAATGAATGCATGTAAGTTTACAATATTTATGCAGGGGACCAAACTGTCATTTTGTAAAATTGGAAGACATAAATTTAGCAAATTAAGTAGCTCGATAAGGAAGTAGCTTCCAAAGCGTGGATGATTTCAATCACAAAAGACATGATTATGTGAATTTTGTTTGCAACTCGCTGTTTGAAACAAGAAAAGAAGTAAGATCTGCGCATGCTTTTCGATTGTTTTATGAATCGTCTTCGCTAGATCTTGATCTACTAAGGTGACGCATGTTGAATTGAATCCAACCCTTATCTTATCACAATGTTCTGAAATAGACAACAGGAATAATGTGGCTTATCTTATGGGCATGTGGACACTCCTTCAAAAGCCTCGTGGGCTTTCATTTCCACTATTTTTTCCTTTTAATTTGCTTCTTTATAATTTTCGTAAACATTGTAGACCAACTCCGTGATCTCCAGGCTCAAAATTTTGTCATTTTGCGTAAATTGACAGTCCACTTGTCAGTCATCGACAACCCTAACCTTGACTTGATTGGGTTTGTTACTGGACAAACTACGCTGAAATATAATCTTGACTCATTAATGCCTCAGACAGTATCGTGCCCATCTTGTTCCCAATTTCCAAAAATGACAAATTTTTAATAATAAAGCTTAAATCATAAAGCGAATAAAATAACGATAATCAAATATTATCCAGTGAGCCTAATAAAAATAAACATTGTATTATGTGTTGAACTATTCAATGTTTTGAGATACCTCATTACCCGGTGGCTACTCTCTTGATGCTGTAAAATGAATGCTGAGCTTTAACTTTAAAATTACCTGGGGACAAGGGAGATTTCTTGTGATAATAACTACATAATTGGTGAATGCATTTGGCCTAACCCGTGCATGGACTGTCTGACATTTTATGTCGGTCCTATTCATAGCTAGGTGACGCTATTGAAGAGACTTTGCCAGAGAAGCTCGAAAAAGACGAAGTCCCTTCTTGTTCATTTTGCATAATCTTTAAACAAATTGAGGAAAGACTGCCTAAGCTAGTCAGTCGTAGGCAACACATTACACTGTAATCCAACAACCATGTTTTTATAAATTCTTTTAAAAGGAGCCATTTGCTTTTACTAATAACAAGCTTCGGCTAACCGTACCTGTGAAGAGCGAGAACCTTTAAAGCAAACACTGACAAACGTTTTCTTGGCTAGTCTGGTCCAAAAAGCACGTTACGTAAGGAGAAAGCCATCCTTTGAGCTCTATACGAAGCTAAGCAGCGGTTTCCTTAATCAAAATTTTTAAATTCACAAAACTGACGATGCGGCCTTCCCAGGAAATTTTAATCAGGTCCACAAGGGCGATTTTTTGTATACAAAGAATTAATTTAGAAGGGAGGGCTAGGATGTAGTATTAACACTAGGGCTCAGGGCCCCAGAGACTTCGTGTTCTGCTGACTTTTGAGATTAGTATCATTATCATTTTCTTTAAGCATAAAATTTGTTTGTTTCCAGATGGGGCAATACGCTTTTTGCATGCATCACTTTCTACATATTTCAAGAAGTTTTTTATTTGCTGTCTCTACGAAATACAAACATTTGCGTTAAGAACAGTACTTTCTTTGTCCTCAAAAATGTAAGTGACTATGTTCAAACAGTGAACAAGCATCAATTACAGTTTCTGATTTTGAAAACACCGTCTTTCATTAATAGATTCGTTATCAAATGTTTTGAGAAAATCCTTTTTTTCTGAAACTTATCCATTTCTCGGCATCATAGGAGGTATGGGGCAAAGCTCATTCCAATAGCGCTAACCAAACTGTTCTGCTCACGAAGACAACACTTAATTATTTGGCGTTGTAGCCCCATTATTCAACCAAAATCCCCAAACGGTGGGTATTGGTAAATGAAACAATATTGCAAGCAAATTTTGATCTCAACAGCACAATTCTGTGAAGTTATCTCTCAAAACAATAAAGCTTTTATTATTCTGACGACATTTCTTGGGTAAATCATGTCAAACTTGTTTACATTCGTCTCGTTCTTAGTTTAAAACACATATTTCTACTATAATACAGATTAATTATATACTACAATTTAAAGGCATTTATAAGTCAACGGTTTTCAAGCTCATACTGAAAGTAGCAAACAAAGTTATTACGTCATGGGACTACTTGAGCTTATGTTGCCAAAGATCTAAGACTGACAGTCACTCTTAATAACATCACTCTAAACCACACTGGTGTTGTATAACAAGTGTTTCTGTGCACAAAAATGCACAGGCAAATCTTGAAGCAATAAAACGTGTTTTCTTTCACTAATAAGAAATGTTAATTTATTTTATAACTTTATAAATTGGGAAAATTTGCCAACCAGAATAACCCAAAGTACTTGTGAATGTTGATTGTATGCATAAAGAGCAGTATGACTCATTTGAAGTTTAAGTATTTTGATCGGATGTGCAATATAACTACTTATTTGTTCGGGCAGATTAACAGAAACTTTGCATCATCTTTTCTTTATAACTAGAATAACCGAATCATGTACATACAGTTTTCTTTAAGGCCTCTTTCTTACCGAGAGCAGAAATTAAGAATAACTTTTGATCTCCCATTGGCCAGCGAGTATCATAAAACAGTTTAACAAAAGTGAAAATAAACTTTGCAAAAATTCTAGGTATGTTTTTATTATTGGTTTTGTGTTACAATCAATAACCTAAGGTTTATAACCCTTGCACCTAAAAAGATGAATTTTAAAGTCCAACAGGACGCTCATTTGGTATACTGAATTACAAGACTGCCTTTGAGGGCGACAATGTTTGCGAATGTCCAGACACCTCCGCATGCTAGGCCTGGCCTAGTAATGAATCATTCCATGTGGCAAATATGACGAATAAGCACCTTCTGGGCCACTGATTCCCCCGAATTTAGCACCAAGCCCATTATAGGGATGATAACGAATAGACGCACTGCTGTTCGATGGGTACGGTCCATACACAGATGGTAAAGTGGACTGTCTTCCAGGATTCTTTCCTAACCGGCAAGGGCAACCATGAATGTTACACACTGCTTGCCCCACTTGACTGGGACCAGAATCGTGCGTGTCACAAGGAGATCGGCTCTGCGAATGTGCCAATGACGTATGAGTCCTTAAATGCTGAAGTAATTCCTCCGAGCTAATGAAGCTTTTTCCACAGTGTTTACTGTCAGATACCCAGTTACATATAAATGGGTGCGAAGCAGAGATTGGCGGCTTTGGCTTCATGAAAATATCAGATGGAAGGACGTTCGGCGAGCCATTAGTCGGCAAACCTGAAGACTTGTTCGAATGCGTACACTGGTGGACAAGGGCAGGGTGGATGTAATTCTGTAGCCCAACTGACGGGCTTTGTGGGTACTTGATTGTGCAGTTCTGGCAGTGTGGATCTCTGCAGATCATGCTGCTTGGATTCTTCAGATGTGGGTACATTTGATGCAATGACTGCATTTGACAATGTTGTGGACTTTGTTTCAAAGCTGTGCCATCTGCTGAGGGCCTTAACTGATTGCAAAATGAGCATGGGCATATATTTGCGCCCCTTGATGACTGAGGTATTGGCATACCTCTGCCTGAATTGCAATGAGCACACTCGTGTTCGTGGGGTACGTAAGGCGACGATTTCTGCGATGCAACATTTGCGGGAGGATGACATTTCATCAAAGAATGCATATTCATATCACGATTCGCTTCATAATGTCCATTACCAATGCAGCCACCATGTCTTTCCTTCTCCACCTCTGGCGGTGGTAGAGCGCCTGGTGGAAATCGACCGTGGCAGTAGGAAAAGCCGTAGGGAGTTGTCGGTGTAGACGAAGTTACCGCCCCCTCTGTATGTGGTTTGGGTAACGAGGAGAATTTGAAATCCTGCTTGTAGGGCTTGAAGGATGATTTCGAGTCTTCTATTTTGGAAGATGCCTTGGGAGAAATAGTCTTCACAATCGATTCTTTGCCTTTATCGGTGTCATTGCGACCAATACTGCTGCATGTTGCTGCCAACAGTGCCAACGGTGATGTTTTGTTTTCCAAACTCTGTCATTGAAAAAAATAGTCAAAAATAAAATTCATTGAAAATTTTGACAAGGACCTGAGAGTTTCTGGGTGAGTCTTGCAATGTGGTCATAATATTTTTCTACTTCGAGTAGGAAAATAGCGGCTGTTTACAAATAACCAATATTTTCGCACGCATTTGTCGTCAGGTCAACAAAAACTTCATATCGTCGTATCACAAATTCAAACATGACTCAATTTCCACTCTCTAGCTGTGAATAAGCGAACAATTACTGTCGCTAACACCACCGCAAGACCTGCCCTGGCGGAAAGAACTTAGTAATGGGAGCACTGTTGTTTTCGAGTCATTCAAACGGTATTTCTTACAAAAAACAGGAAACCTAATGTCAAAATCGACATGTGAGCCAAAATGACACTGTCTTCTGAATTTCATTTATGTCACCAACTGGTAATAACAAGAAATGTACATTTTGACTTAAATCACGAATTCGTGAACGCCTTTTAAGTAGTTGGTGTTTTTCTCGTTCATACTAAGTTGTAAAGATTTATAAGTATAACTAGTATAAGAGTATATAAAGTAATCTTAAAACCCAGTCTCTTCTGAATCTGATATTGTTCTTCTACGCATACAAACAACAAACTAAGGCTTTCAATCAAGAAATCTGGCAGAATTAGAAAGGTATCTATGTCTTCACAGTAGCAATGTCAACGGAATCGATAGTGAAGAGGTAGTTCAGCGAAGAAAACTTTTCAACTAGTAAGACGTCTACAACATAGAACAAAATACTGTTAACAGAATGCAATGACTAAATGTTTCCTTTTCTATATAACTAGCTGACGTCCAGTTGGCCTAGGTTGACATAGATTTTAATCGACTCTCCAGAATTTATGCAACTTTCAAGTGGGCATCAAACTGTACCTCGAGCCTTAATTTCGGAATCAAATACAAATTACTGTTAACAATACTTCATCAAATCGCAAATATGAGGCTTACCGAGGAATGAGGTTGAAGATAGTCGCAATGAATTTGAGGAACTCTTTGAGTCAACATTTCTAAGGCCACGATCGGAAAATCGGTTCGTTTATTATCCTGTTTTTTCGTGGTCGCACACTGAGGAGACTCAACCGCTCGCATGGTTCAACTGGCTATGCGTCGAATGTGGTCGCGAATTAATCTTGCTCACTTAAATTGATCAAAGAGGCCGCCTCAGACAAAGGAGAACAATCCTCTTCACCACAACTTCTTAACTGTCAATAACTCAAAGCCCTCTGAAGGCACCGCTGGCCAATCAAAATACGGATGGAACAAGATAACGCTTTTCGATTGGTTACTAAGTAGTGATGGAACTGTCATTATAATTGCTTAGATGGGGGTTGAGATAATTCACACCATCAAAAGCTATCGAAAGGGCGGGATTTAATTAACTAACAGGTCGCCAAATGTCCTTAATCCAGACGATAATCAATAAAGAGCTGTCATGACCTGTCAATCAATCTCGCCCTTTGTCAATCTAGACTGAAAGCTCTTTGCATGTGGCCGTTTGCCGCTGTAGCACAAAATAAACACTATCAGCGAAGACGGGGAAACACAAGAAAGATTTGGAAAGATTTAGGTGAATGTTTGGCAAAGAAAAGCTTCGGCTCCCGTGCTTTGATAGCACGAGCGACTCAAAACTACATGGGGAACGGTGCTTTGTTACACTTTGAGTGAAGTGAAGTGTCAAGATTCACTGAGTCGCCTTGCCAAATAATTATGAATAATGGTATGAACTTACAGAAATGCTATTAATAGTCAAGATTTGGCTATTATGCACCCAATGACATACTGTTGAGTCCATAATTATTCAACTGCAATTCAAATTTGACTATGCAAGATGGATGGATATTTCAAACCAGTAACCACAAACGAACGTCGGGCTCTCTTGATCAATTCACACGTCGCGATCTTATCAGTGATACCTGTCAATCAATTGGTCGGAAACATGTAATTACAGATGAGGTGTTGACAGAACGATTGAATAATCATGTCTGTGGATGAGGCACCGTTGTGTGGCCATTGTCATTATAAATCCATGGAAGATGTAGTACGATTTGATTGGATTTGCCCTTTGTTTTCACGCCCTGTTGTTGAAATATTTGGCCAACTGGACAACGCACGGTAACTGTGTGCAGGCCATCGGCTTCTTTTCACAGTAATGAGAAGTAATAACAAGCCGTCCTAAGCTGTCGAAATAAGGCCTAGAGATAAAAGTTGGCGCCAGCAGTGTTCGAATTCAGTGATGAAAACAGAGGCCTAATCAATCTATTTATCTTTAAACATTAGAATCTCAAATGATTTTGAATTGGCGAGAACTTATCGTTCTTTCGGTAAAAGCCCACATTCAAAAAGTTCTATTCTTGACACGACTTTACGAAAGGAAATTGCTATTACTTACGATAACTAATTAAATATTTAGGCAATGTTAACTTTTTCTATTCGAGTTTATCACACGTGTACAAACATTCGCCTAAGTTGATAAAATATTTCAACGGGGCTGCTTTGTTATTCCAGAATTGTAGATGTTTTAAAATTATTTGTAATAATTATGTGAAAATTGCGTATTAATTAGGTGTGAAGTGGGTATGAACAGGATACATTCCGTTCCGAGTCATGTTTTTGGAGGAAATAAACAATACTATATCAAGAGGAAAGCACCAGTCGACATCAGCTAATCCGTTCTTATTGCATTTGATGGCTCATCCTCACTTATTGTATTAAATTATTAAGCAAATCCAACAAACGATTGAAGCAATCTATTTTTGCAAGCCTGAGCAACCAGGAATATCCCATTTCCAAACAATTATTTTGCTTTGAAAAAAACTAATAAAATGTGTTTTCTGTTTGTATACTGATTGTTGATAGTTTTATATTTATTTCTTCAATGCATACTGTAAATAGATAAATGGTACCAAAATAAGTAAAACTACGATCAACCAACAAACCAACACCGGGGGTTTTCTTACTACGCTTGCACCCGAAGAAAAAAATACTTTTTTCCAGGACAGGCCAGACGAGGGCGGGCGCTTTTTCCCTAAAACCATATTAGATTTGGAAAATAAGAATTTTTATAAGCATATTCAAGCTCTTAACAAAAATTTCTTAAGAATTATCTACCCTGTGTACAATTGATAGCATTTTTATGAAAGATAAATTTATGAATCTATAACTTGTTTATAGGAGTCTTAGGTGAGGCAGAGACCCACTTGTCCCAACACACATGCCGTCATCGTTATTATTATTTATCGTCAATCAGTATCTATGTTTACATCCCCTTTAGTAGGGTCAGCTTTTAATGCAGAGCTTTTAACAACAACGAAAGTCGACGATACTTATCTTTTATAAGAATGGACAGTCAGAAAAAAATTAAGCAACTCTTTTACATGAAGCAAAAAATTTAGATACCCACAACTCTGATATTTCTTGACAATCCATCAATATTATCAGCTGTTGGCGTAAAACTTTAGAAAGAGATTAAAAAAACTTGGCTCGTCCAAATATCTCTTTCCACTTAACCAGCATTTAAAACAATAGAAAGTTTGACGAGGTTTTGGAACTTCAAGCAGTGACGTACCCAAGGCTGGTGCAGTGGGGGGTCTGGGACGCAGCCCCCTGAAATGTTTTTGGACCACGCCCTTCAAACTCTCGCAATTGCGGGAAAACGCCCTTTTTGCAAAATTTCCCCCCATTATTTGATTCATGTTAGCTTCAGTGAATAGCAAAATATTTTACAATTGTTATTGACACAAGTATACTGCACCCCTCAATGAGTTTTACATCGTTTTTGGACAAATCTCGAGGAACATATTTTAGAAAAGTGGGGGGGGGGGTCGTTTGCATTTTGTAATACACTCTTTTCTTATAATAGCCAGTAAATTAAGGTCAGGCTGGCTATTCATATTTTTCTCAAGAATCTGTGAGTGTAATTTTATTATGAAATGATTTTTAGCATACAAATATTCAATAACGTCGACCTTTGTTTTTTTATTAAAAATGAGAGAGGTAAATCACTCGATAGAACCAAAAGAAATTTCGTACACCTGTGGTAAAGATGCAATATTTGTCGGTAAATCCCTAGAAATCCTTTTTTGTTGAAAAGCTGGCACGCTATTTGTAAGAGGAAACTGCACCTCGAAAATGATGTTTACTTCCTTGGATTGAGAAAAATAGCTCTGCAACTGCGGCAAGCCTTACATAATTTATTGTAACCAAGCTGTTAATTCATTTTGGACTGGCAGCGTAAAGAGGGTTGCACTTCATGAGAGGATGCAAAGAGAAAATCGCCTTTCAGCTTTCTTTGAAATTTGAGCTCCGATAACAGAAGAATGAAATAATTCGCATGGCCCTACACAGCGGATATTCAGTGCGCAGCGCAGAGGCACAGTTCCACCGCACAGGGCATCAGTCGGATATCTATCAGATGTATTATCTTACGCACTCGGGGTCAGACTCAAAGGCGCCATCGGCTCTCTATGTCTAAAGCCAAGATCAAAACAATCTTGCATGATCGAGAAGAAATGTTGACACAAGATGTCTGCATCTGCCAGAGCGAAGATAGATCTTTTCTCATACAGCTCAATCCGCTCTCGTCTCCGACTGTTTAATAAGCGAGGGACAGAGATTGGACAAAATCTGCAGAATGGTGCTAAATCAATACCCCCACCTCAACCATTGTACGCAAGGCTTATTTTTCTTGACAATTTCTATCTCTATTCCATACAAGGCATGACAAATATTTAGCTTGTTGGACTCACTGTGCAGTGCGGCCCCTTTTTTGTCTAAGCCTGATATGATATCAAAATCGATTTTGCTGCAAATGGCTAAAATTCGGCCACTCTGCTATCATTCGCCTATTCATTGACGCATTTACTTAATGCATGATTTAAGCTCATGCCAGGGGATTTAAAAACCATTCTAAATCGGTTACACAAGAGCATTTATCATTAACAACTGACATCTGATATATTTTTTCTTTTGGAGCGATTTTTGCAGGCACATTGCTTCTTGCTTGTTCACTTATAAATGTTGCAAGACAACTTCAGAACTATGTTGCTTCTGCAAAGGACTTCCGTTCTTATCCTCTACGAAGGCTACTTCAAAGCATTTAAAAAATTTCTGAATACTATGTCCTTGGAAATTTTTTGTACAAATAGAATCGTTGGAATTTTATATGCGGGCCCCGCTATACACTCTTTCTTTTATAAGAACCAGTAAATTTCAGTTCAGGCTGACTGTTCTTAATTTTTTCGAAAATCTGAGGCTGGATTGTTCTCAATTTGTTCTTAATCTACGTAATAGGATGTAAGCAGTGCGAATGCTAGCTTCTTCGCTCTAGGGAGGTGTTCAGGCCTCATTTGCCAACAAATGGAGTGAGACAACCTTCATTTGCCGAAAAGTTTGAATATTCGACGAAAAAGCACCCACTCATCGCTAAAAATCCTCGATTTTGGGAAAAAACGTTGTTCAAAATTGCATTTTGCAGAAGCTCAGCCTCAGCTTGTTCTTAATTTGTTCTTAACTTTCGACCAATTTTGAGGCTCGTGTTCTTATAAAATTGTTCTTATAAAAAAAGAGTGTATACATTTAAAAATTGGCATTTTCGAATTAAATTGTGAAATACACTTTTTTATATAAGAACCAGTATATTTAAGTTCAGGCTTAATGTTCTAAATTTTTTCAAAAATCTGAGAATGGATTGTTCTTAATCTGTTATTAAGGGTGTAAGCAGTGGGATTGCTAGCTTTTTCGCTCTAGGGAGGTGTTCAGGCCTCATTTGCCAACAAAGTGAGACAACACCTTCATTTGCCGACATTTACCTGAAAAGCATCCATACATGGTTGAGTATTCAACGTTTTTGAGGTAAAACGTTGAATACTCAGCCTCAGTATCTTCTTAGTTTACTCCTAACTTTTGACCAATTTGAGGCTCGTTTTCTAATGAAATTGTTCTTATATAAAAAGAGGGTAGTTTTTTCACAACTTTAATCCAGAAACAAAATTCGTCAACATTTTTGCAGTGGGAGAGTGAATATTTTATCCCCTACAAATAGATTCTGCAGACTGCCAGTTTCATTTCGAAAAAGAGCTTTTTCATCAAAAATCTGGAGAAAAATCATCAATCAAGCTACAAAAAACA